CCAGCCAAGACTGATCACACCGTGTGATCGTACGCTTCAGGGACCAGCCAAGACTGATCACACCGGTGTGATCGTACGCTTCAGGGACCAGCCAAGACTGATCACACCGGTGTGATCGTACGCTTCAGGGACCAGCCAAGACTGATCACACCGGTGTTATCGTACGCTTCAGGGACCAGCCAAGACTGATCACACCGGTGTTATCGTACGCTTCAGGGACCAGCCAAGACTGATCACACCGGTGTTATCGTACGCTTCAGGGACCAGCCAAGACTGATCACACCGGTGTTATCGTACGCTTCAGGGACCAGCCAAGACTGATCACACCGGTGTGATCATACGTGTCAAAGGGTTAAAGTGCGGTCACATTAACGTTGCTCTGTGATTTTTTTTTTTTTTTTACCTGTGAAATCCAGTCATTTCAATAGGAATCTACGTGATCGGGACTTTTTTGTGAGGGCGAACGATTTCCCCACATAGATTTGGCAGCTGGTTCAAGTTGGTCACACAAATACGCCATGCTCCGCTTCATACATCGCTTACACATCATACATCGCTAATAGACAATGGACCTTTTTTGGCCTGCAAAATTATTTTTCTAATTTGACTGCACCTTTAGAGATGGTAGTGTTTTTGTTTTGTTTTTTTTGCTTCTTGAGTAGTTTTATGATTTTAATGGCATTTGCCAAATAGTTTTATGTATGTGTATTGTATTTGTTGTTAATCACTTCTATCTATCCCACAGCCCTTTGGTGTGAACCAGCCTGGCCCGTATGTCATGTACACATCGGTGGACTCGAACGGTTATCTGAAGAACGCGTCTGGTGAGTACACGGCTCAGAAAAGATTAACACTAGATGGGAAAGGCATCACACATATCTCTTTGCCCAGAATATCCTGCCTCAGTAAGGTAAGATAAGTCAACCTCAGCACACTACAGTTATCTGTCCTGACTAGTTCACTACTTTTTATGGATCAGACTAAACTAGACTAGAATGAGTTTGAATAAACTAATAAAAAACTTTATCTTGGCCTCACTTTATACTGGTGTTAATTATAAAATCTGCTCTGGCATGGTAAATTGTGTGAAGGATGCACATAAATGCTCTGGAGAATTGCCCTTTTTTCACTCAAAAAAAATAGATTGACATTTGTTAGTGAGAAATCTTAATTTTTAAGAAAAAATTTTAGGTTTATGTGGAAATGAGGAGTTATATAAATGTGTTTCTTGCCTGGAAACAATATTATGACACTTGATTGCTGTGAAGCCAGTAAATGCAGCCACTATAGAGAATGTTGGAGTTATATATCATATATATATATTATTTTTTATTTTGTTATGTATTATTCATTAACATCTAATTATTGGTGTTTTAAGTCAAATGTATTTAAATATATTTACATTTAAATAAATTGTTATATTAGAATCCAATTCTATTAGTTTCTGTCATGTAGCAGGTCATTTACAGCATTATGAAAAGACATTGTCTTTGATTAATTTCTGTCCATTGTCACACCATGTTCCATAGACAATGGATGATATATAATATTGTTTTCCAATATAGAGCAAACTAGAGATTCTGTAACTAAGCACACATCGGTATGACGCTTGAGTTGCCTTGTTTCTTGATTGCTTAGTATTTTATATATGAGTGTCTCGTATGTTTTTTTGGCCCTTGAGGATATCTGATTGACCAAGTTCAAGATCATCCGTTCCACCTTTCTAAGAGCAGATAAGATTAAATTCCTCGCGGCATTGACAGAACTCCATCACTTTGGTGTAAATGGCTGTTTTCCTGAACTCTCTTTTGAAATACATCACTGACCTTGAGTTCTCAGTGGAAGCATTACATAAACAGAATGAATGTTTCTCTTATGTTGTGGTTCTGTGTGTGTGCCTCCACTGGGCCACATGCATGTCTGCGCGCGTGTGTGTGTGTGTGTGTGTGTGTGGACTGTGCTAAAGATCCTCAGCAGTACAGAGAGTGGGATGTGACAGAGCTATCAAAAAAGATAAATGACTAAATGGCTAAAAGGACAAACATTATCCTCGGATTACTGGAAATAATGGATTTTAGGGAACTTGTGTGCTCCATGCTTGTAGAAGAAACTAATTAATTAAAAAAAAATTATGTCCTGCTTTTAAAAGCTGGACCAGAGTTTCTGAACTTGTCTTTGAGTTCTGTCCAATCAAATTATAGCCCTTCTTCCACTAGCCAGGAAGCCACAAGGATTTCTGTTATATGAAATATCTCCACTTTCTCTCATTGTCCTCTTTATCTTTGTTCTTTCCTCTCTAATGTGAAGAGAGATTCATTAGGGATAAAAGACACCTCTATACGCAGACAGAACATTTATAAATGTTTATTGTCATTGTGTCCTGAAAAAAAAACAGTCTCAGAGTTAAATGGTATATGCTGACATAGTGGTCTATAATGAAATGTCACTGTAATAATGTTCTTGATTTGTCTTGTTGTACACCTGCTGAAGCAGAATACAAATGAGCAGAAGTGTTTGGCTGTGTTTGCTTCATAATAGTCGCTGAGTATGAAATTCAGTATGAATCTCTGGCTTCACCTGGTGTGTGTCAGGTTTGTTTTGATGTTCAGGTCAGGTGCTAATGTGTTTCACAGAACTGTTTATCTGTCTATTAGGAATTTGCTCTATATCTGTGTCTGTCTGCCGTTTATCATGTATGTATGTATGTCTGTCTATCGGTTGTCATTCTGTCTGTCTGTCTGTCTATCTATCTATCAGTGGTGTGTGGTGGTGTTCTGAAATAAGGCAGCAAAGTCCTCAAAGAGGAGGGATTTATCGCATGAACCAATCACAGCCGAAAATAACTAGTCGTATCCAATCAAATCGCGATGGAGGCATTGCCTCCTCTCACTCGACTTATCCCCATTCATTCTCAATTACCCCCTACCAAACTCACCGCACGCTCTGTTATAATGGTTATGTTAAAACTCAGTGGGCTCAGGGGAGGCGAGAGAGAAGTGATGTAACCTTACCTGCTGGTGTCGCAGACTTTCTTTAGAAAAATGAGTGATTTATACACTTTTTATTGTTACATTTTGTAATATTGGTGTTGTTTTATTTTTGTGCTACATATTTTTTTCTCATCCAATATAGACACTGCCTACCTTGCCTCCTCGGAGAAAACGCCCCTACTATCTATCGTTCTATCTATCTGATGTTCTAGCTCTCTGTCATTCTGTCTGTCATTCTATCTACGTTCTATCATTCTATCTAGGCTACTTTATCGGTTTATGTCCATCTATTGTTTTATTTCCATGTATCATTTTATGTCCATGTCTTTATATGTCCATTTTTCATTCTGCCTGCCTTGTCTGTCATTCTGTCGATTGTTCTGTCTTTCTTTCTATTGTTCTATCTGTCATTCTATGTATCTGTTGTTCTTTCTAACATTCTGGTTTCTTTGCCTTTGTATCATTCTATGTAGGGCTGCACGATTAATCGAATGCCATTGTCATGCTTATCTTGTCAGTAAAGCCGGTTCTGTGATTAGTAGTAAATCTCCAGCACGTGCTTTCAGGTGGAGCAGCGTTTACTACACAGAGCCATAGTTCACTGACAAACTACGCAATATCGCGTTCATAATCGCAGACGATTTAATCGCGCAATTATGAAATCGAAGAAATCGTTCTGCAATTATGAAAGCTGTTTGCGTAGCTTGTCAGTGAACTACGGCTCTGTGTAGTAAATGCTGCTCCATCTGAAAGCACGTGAAAATGTCACATTTAATAACATGTTTTTACTCCAAACTCACTTCATAACGTCAGTCGAGTGTTTGAAATAAATTCTTCTGTGAGATGATGTGGCTTCTTACACAGAATAAGGCACACAACATATTTCATAATATTCTTAGCAGTGATAAAGGCTATGTCGATTAGCACTGCATTATTATATACTTTATTATAATAAAAATTATAATAAGACGAACTCTGATAAACCATATATTGTCGTAGTCGTGTGTTTATTAGTCACGTTGAATTAATGAAAGCAGTTAAATCTTCTGTTTATTCAGCAACCGTTATAGGCATTTCCTGGGTTTCTTCTGCAAAGCGTATTTGGAGTTTCAGCGTGAGAGCGCCCTCTGGCCTTCGAGTGGAGATTTACTACTGGTCACAGAACCGTGCTTCACTGAAAGATACGCATGACAATCGCAGCTTCTGTCGAATCGCGATCTCGATTCCATTTCGGTGCAGCCCTACCATCACGTGCTTTCAGATGGAGCAGCATTTACTACACAGAGCTGTAGTTCACTGACAAGATGCGCATGACAATCACAGCTTTTGCCTAATCGCAGTTGCAATTTAATTTTGATTAATCGTGCAGCCCTAATTTCTATGTATGTGTGGTTCTATCTAGCTGTCGGTCTATCTGTCTTTCCTCCACACACAGTTTACCATGTGAAGAGTTGAGGAGTGACAGGAAGTTGATGGTATTCTCACAGAAAACACAGAGGAATAGATAAATAAAAGCAATCGCCATTTCAGCACAGAAACTGTTAGTAGAGCTTAGTGACACTGTGGCCCATCATCCCTCTGTGCTCTGATGCTGAACTTCTAACTACAGTTCTGTGATAAATGTCCTGCTGTAATTGGAGAGATTGTGGCAGGGTTTCTGGGGTCAGCTGAAGGACAGTAATGGGGTGGATGTTGTACGCGGAGTGGAGAACAGGCCAGGTTGTATTAGGGCCCTTATTCCCTCAGGCTCTCATTGGCCAGTAATGAAACACAGCACAGCAAGACTTATTGCACATTTAGACTCGAGCTCAGGACATGGGGACGGCGGTATTTCTGCTGCTGTCTGCACTTGCTCTCCCTCTCTCTATTTGAGGACAAAGTAACTGAAGACAAAGTAAGTAACTGAAGTAACCACAGATCCCATGAAGGCAACATTGTTCATGTACTGTCCTAATAACAGTTTAAAATAAGTAGAAAAATACCATTCTCTGAAAGTTAGTTTAACTGGAAGAAGGACAGTAATGGGGTGTATGTTGTACGCGGAGTGGAGAACAGGTCATGTTGTATTAGGGCCCTTATTCCCTCAGGCTCTCATTGGCCAGTAATGAAACACAGCACAGCAAGACTTATTGCACATTTAGACTCGAGCTCAGGACATGGGGACGGCGGTATTTCTGCTGCTGTCTGCACTTGCTCTCCCTCTCTCTATTTGAGGACAAAGTAACTGAAGACAAAGTAAGTAACTGAAGTAACCACAGATCCCATGAAGGCAACATTGTTCATGTACTGTCCTAATAACAGTTTAAAATAAGTAGAAAAATACCATTCTCTGAAAGTTAGTTTAACTGGAACACTGAAAATATCTCACTTTTAAATCAGCTTGAGTTATCTTGCTATTAAATTATCTGAACCGAACAGAGTTGACTAAACCAAACAAATTACACTGTTTTCTCAATTGGCTTAAATGAGGAGCAACCTACAGTATCTAAACTAACATCTCTTCCAGCAAGAAAAAATTCTTTAGATCAATCACAAACTAATTAGGACTGTGCCTCAACCTGTGACAAATTCATTAGTCTATCAATTAAAAATGCGTTGTGTACCATCACAAATTAAAATATTTTAATACAAAAACTATATCACGCAAAATATACTGTATGTGTATTAAATTTAGCATCAACTCTAATTAATGACTGCATTTATTTTCTTCTTTTTAATTATTTTGTTATGTGTGAGTGGGAATTTATGTTGAATATTTGTATAGCCTGTAGTTAAATGTGCATTTGTAGGGAGTCGAGTGGGGGGCATCCTCTCCAATCGTATCTGAGGTGCTTCATAAGGTACCTCAGAAGGTTCTGTTGTCATGCTTGTATAATTGGACTGACCCTTTCAGTACTAAGCTAATGAATGAGAGCTGTAA